TTTAAAGTCTAAATTATTACAAATAAGTATCCGGGGATGTGGGTACAAATGTTTACAAATGGGGATGAGTCTTGTCAGAATAGTAATGTCCAAATATTATATTTACAACCAAATCGAATCATCGCGTTCTCAACGTAAAAAAGATAACAAGGTATAAGAAATAAAGAGAATCAAAGGTATTGTGAGGTGTATGTGGTTATTTACAAATGATTAAATAAAGTATTAACCTAATGAAAATTAAGTGTTTACAATTATTTTTATGTTTTTGTTAGTTATATATAAACAAAAAGTTTTTAAAGAAAGAATTATTTAACTTGAAAAAACTAATATTTATATATTTTAAGTTTTAGAGGTAATGAAGATTATTAATAAAATTTTATACAAAAGGGTAATATATTATTCAATAAAAAGAATTAGGTTATGAAAATGTAGTGATAAAATAAAAGAGTATTGGTTTTTAAAAGAAAAATATAAGGAAAGAAGTTAGATGGGCTTGGAGAATGTATTTGGCCCAAAGAATAAAAAATAAGGTAAGACATAAGGGGGGTGTGGCGCCAATTTGTTTGGGCTTAGGGATTTAGTTTGTTGGGGCAGAAGCCCAAATGCAATGTACAGTGTTTTTGTTAGGGTTTGTATTGTTTTGCTCAGAATTAGGTTTTAGTTCATGAACGGCGCCGCTCTCCTCTCATCTTCATCCTCTTCATCGTTCTCAAATCAAGAACAAACTGATGTATTCTCCTCTCTTTAGGCCACCAGAATGCCACCTCCAATCTCTCCTCCTCGTGATTTGTACAAGGCGGCGAAAAAGGTATCATTTTCCTTCTAACGCGTTTTAGGGTTTTTTAGATTCGTGCATGTTTTATTGTTTCACAGTGTTGATCTTTTGATATTTGTGTTTGTGTGAGGTGCAAAACAGAAAGAGGGGATAGATACCTTGAGGGCTTCGTCCCTGGAGAGGCGATGGAGAGGGATCTTGGAATGGAGGCGTTCTAGGGTGGCCGGAGGAGGGAGAGTGTGATGACAAGCTTGCTTTCTGGTACTTTGTATCTTTAGCTTTGAACTGTTTTGTGATGAGCTTCGTTCTGAACACCCTATTTCATTAGCTTCTGAATCTTCTCCTCTCTTTGGATTTTGTTGGCTTTTGATGAGGATATTATTTTTGAAAATGCTTGTTTGCTTCTGAGAGTATGTTAGTGATGATTAAATCTGGAACATTGCCTTTGATATGTTCTTCCTTGTTGGCTTTGTTGATTCTGTGATGAACTTATTTCTGAGAATGCTTGTTTGCTTCTGACTTTTCCTCTTCTTTGGACTTTGTTGATTCTCAATGATGAGCTTTTGTTCTGAGATTTGTTTTTGATAAGTTCTTCTTTGTTGGCTTTGTTGATTTTCAATGATGATGAGCATGTGCTCTGAAAAAAAGAATGTTTGTTGTTATTGGTGTTTGGTATTTGATGATGAATTTCTGAGGATACTTGCTTCTGAGTTGTTTTTCTTTGAAGGAAAGTTTGGTGTTTTTGTGTTGGATTGCAGTTTGAAACAGGTTTGCCACCTTGTAGTGCTTGTGTTTACAAGCCAGTTTTGCAGGTTATGCAGGCCTGTAGTGCAGGTTTGAATGTTTTTAGGCAGGCTTGAGCTTTTCTTTGATAACTTGCAGTTTGCTTTAGGCGGGCTTGAAGTTATGCAGGCTTGGAGGAAGCAGGCCTCAAAGCTTGTTGTGCCTTAGGCTTGTATTTGTAGCACAGGTTTGGATTTGTCGTTTGGAGGTTTTGATGCAGGTTACAAGTTTGAGTTTACTTTAGGCAGGCTTGAGGCTTCCTGTTGGTTTTGTTTGTTTGGAGGTTTTATGCAGGCTGGAAGTTTTTGGTTTTCTACAGGTTTTGCAAGTGGATAACTTGCAGTTGTTTTTTGTCACAGGCAGGTTTGATAATTGCTTTTGGTACATGCAGGCTTGCTGTTATGCAGGCTTGAAGGCTTGCTTGTGTTTACAGTTTGTGGTTCTCTCCCCCTTGAACTGTTAGGACAATGTTATATTTATTTTCTTTCTTCCCGCTCTGTATAGCCTGCCAAACTGCAAAGCCTACTTCACTCTCTTTCTCTCTCCATAAAAAGCATATTTAATTGCTTAATATATCTTTATTCTGAAAAGTTGTTGGCCAGGGAAATGATGAAAAGTTGCTTTGACAAGCTTGTTTGCTTGCATCTTGGTTTTCCTCTGCATTTTGTCCTTTCTTCCAGATTTTCTGCATTGTTCTTTTTGATAGCTTGTATACAGTTTTTGACAGCTTGTGCAACTTGGTTTGCTTAGTTTGAACTTGTGCAGCTTAGTTGACATTTTGTTGACTGCTTGTTGACAGCTTGTTGACAGCTTGGTTTGCTCAGTTTGTGCAACTTGTGCTTTCTTGTGCCTTGTATTATATGCTTGCAAAAAATAATTTTACTTTCCTCTTTGTGAACCAAGAAGAGAAATCTTCTTGTGATTTGCAAAGAGGACGAGTAAAACATGATGAAAACCAAAACAATCTGATTCCGGCCAACAATCTTTAATGATGAGCTTTTATTTATCTGTCTGAAAATGTTTTTCAATTAACTGTATTGACTTCTTTTTCTGTCTTTGCAGGTAAATACCAGTTGGGGTAAGGGAAGCAGCAGTAGAAGATAGAAGACTTCAAGAGACTTAGCATATAGATTTATTTTCTTTTTAATTATTGTAATAAATATCATTGTAAATATTGTAAATAAATTATAGTATTCAAATAACATTTGTAACAACAATTAAAAATAAATAAAAAATCTTTGTCAGATATTTCTTTCTTTTACACCGTTTATTTAACTATTTAAATTTCTTGAATTAAAATGACTGGAAATGCATCCCAATTATTTTAACTTAGATAAAATAAATAATCAACAAACGTTGTACTCTCACAACCTTGCATTAACCATAATACGCCCGGCATTCCAATCAACCATATATTTTGTACAGTTGAGCCAACAAACGTCCATACACCTTTTACCTCACTGATCAAACTAAAGCTTCAAACTTTCAATCAGAAGCCTCAGCTTCTAGCCCAAATGTTTAGGTTTTGAGAAACAAACAACAATCTTGAACAAGCGTAAAAATAATGTAACAGTCAATTGAAATACTGTGGATTCAAATTCTTCTGAGAATGCGTGCGCAAACCCTAATTTTGGATTTACTGTCAAAGAACGTCTGCTTGACCAAACCCTGAGTCAAACTCAACCAAATCAATAGAAACCCTAATTCTGGATGGAACCGATAAGAAAAACTGTTTGACTGACTCAAAATCAATGGAAACCCTAATTTTAGATTGACTGATAAAGAAAAGTCTGTTTGACCGATTCTTGAACCAATCTGAAAAAATCAGGGAAAACCCGAAGTTGTGATTTCTTGTGAAAAAAGGAGGGCAAATTTTGGGGTTCTAAGAAATGAGGTGTTACAGTAGTTAAAAATGAGAAAGGCGAAGTTGTAGCCAAACGTGTAGAAACAGGGTGGAGAATATGCATAGATTATAGAAAATTGAACAAAGTCACTCGTAAAGACCATTTTCCTCTATCCTTCGTTGATTAAATGTTTGAACGCATAGATAGGCCCTCTCATTTCTTCTACTTAGAGGGATACTCAGGATTCTTTCAAATCTCAATTCATCTTGACGATCAGGAAAAGACTACGTTCACTTGCCCTTATGACACGTTCGTCTACCAACAAATGTCATTCGGACTATGTAACACTCCACAACTTTTCAAAGATGCACGATGCCAATATTTGAATATTTTCTAGATAACATCATAGAAGTCTTTATGAATGACTTTTTAGTATGCGGACAAAACTTTGAAGGTTGTCTTAAAAATTTAGAGACGGTTTTAGAGAGGTGTGTAAAAGTCAAGTTAAATTAATGTAATTGATTGTTATATTTTTTAATATAATTAATTGTTAATTAATTAATTATAAATATTATTTATTATAATTTTTATAAAATTGAGTTAGTTGTGAAATTTGTTGGTGAAGAAAAACTATAGAAATTTATAGGTGTGACTTGGTGGTAGTAGTGTTCGGTAGAGACAAGAAAATAAAATTGAATGAGAGTATTTTTATAATAATTAAGTAATTAATAATTATTATTTAATTAAATAATGTAGGGTATTTGGTTGAAAATGTAGGTTATTGGATATTGGGTTTGTTAAAAAAAATTATTTATTTAACTAAGTAATTTGATACGTGGGATGTGGGTTTTTTAAAATATTTTTTTAATGTACTTATTGTTATTTGAAAACATGGGATATGGGTTTATAATTTTTTAATATTAATAAATCTTTATATGTTTTTTTGTGGTGGAAGTCGTTGGCGAAGAGAAACTATGTGAAGATTATAGGTAATAGGTGTGAGTTAGTGGCGGTAATGTTCAAAGAGGAGAAAATAAAAATTAATTTAAGAATATTTTTATAATAATTAAGTAGTCAATAATTATTATTTAATTTATTAAATAATGGAAAACCCAAGGGTTGAAAATGCGGGGTGTGGCTAAATAAAAAAAATTATTATTTATAAATATATTTAGAAAATTGCTAACGTTTAAAGATTTTAAAACATAAATTTTTTTACGTATATTCAATATAATAGAAATTAAAATAATTGATTTTTAAAAAAAAATATTTTTTAACACTAGTTAGCATGACTTGTTTGTCATTACAAAATAAAACAAAAATATAATATTTACCTAAGTAATTTGACATTTATGGTACGAATATTCTATAAGTATCACAATTTGATTGAAAACAAATTTAAAAAATAAAATAAAATTGGAACTTATCAACTCGTATTTATACAAACATTATAAATACGTTGAATACTGAGAAACAAACGTGGCAACAAGTAACAACTTGTTATCATACACACATAAATATTATACATCTCTTCATCTCAACCAAGTTCATCTTATAGTTTACTTATCATTGCCATTAGTGAACATTTGAATCTCACTATGGAGGGACATGAAAATTTGGGGTTTGGTTTCTTTGTAATTGGTTTATGGAACTTTTTCAATCACATCAAACTCCATTTTCTTTCTTCTTCTCTCAAATCCTACCCATCAACCCTATGGTTTCCATCCAAATTAACTAGATACATGGAGCTTTATTTCATTATTGCAACTGGCATAATCTTCATAGCCATGGAAGCTTTTCATCTATTCTCTTCACCTCCAACCATCTGACCCTGTAGATGGAACCATTCCCTCTAACCGTCTTCACAACTTTGAACACTCTTCCATGGCTTTGCTTTGTCTTTCTTATTCTATGCTACATTTGCTATAGTTCTTGATAGAAAAATAACCATTGCTAAAAAAACTTAAAATGAACTTACTCATTTGCTTGCAGCTATAGCATTTGCTCAACAGTTTCTTCTTTTTCATCTTCATTCACGAGACCATATGGGGTTAGAAGGACAGTACCATTATTTATTGCAAGGTTTGATTTTTATTTATTTCGCAACAACCCTTATGGGAATTGGATTTCCGACGAGTTTCTTGGTGTGTTTTGTGCGTTCTGTTGGCATAATCTTTCAAGGTTTGTGGCTTATGTTCATGGGGTTCATGCTTTTTACACCTGGTTATCAACCCAAAGGTTGTTTCATGAAACTCGAAGGGGATCAATATGTTGTTAGGTGTAGTGATGAAGAGGCTCTTCATCGTGCAGTTTCATTGATTAATATTCATTTCAGTTGGTTCTTGGTTGGTGTCACTGTTTTTGCAGTGTCGTTCTACTTGATTATGGCTTTATGTTATGGTGGAAAAACAGTGGAGTATGTATCATTGATGAAGGAGGAACATTACTGTGATGAAGATGGCTTGAAAAACTTCAATGTTGAGTCACAATGTCAAGAGATCATCGCAAGCAAGAGCAGCAAATTTGAAGAACTTGGCGAAGTTAAATAATGTTGTTGTAACAAAAAAAAAAAGTATTGCTTTATAAACATATTACATATCTAAATTATTTGTCACATATACCCCGGTAATTCAAGCATACTAAGCATAATATATAAGAAAATAACAAACAGAGGCAAACATACAGAAATAGAAATAGAGATAAAGAATAAAAGAAACTGAGACAGATACATTCATTTCAAGACATTTTCATTCGATAATCTGGTAGCAGTAAAGCTACCAGGTTTAAAAATGATATTTGCATGCCTCACATGTGATAATAATATGAAGATCATTGACAATTTGATACAACAGCAACAGTCACATTTGAATTTGGATTGATTATTATACAAGTAAATGGTGTTTCATCAGTAACTATCAATATCGGTTTCTGGCTTCCGGAGGTAGTAACGCAGACAGTTTACCAAAACCTGAGATTGTTGCGCACATAAATAATTTCTACAAAATGAGTGTCCGATAAACAAGTTCATTTTAATTTTAAATCAATGCAATGATTACCTGAGACATTGATCTGTTTAATGCAGCCCCGCCGTAACTGACATGAAATTTATCCTTGGCGACCAAACCCTGCAGAGAGAAAAAGTAGGCAGAGTTACTTTGAGTAATGGAAACTGAGAGATGGAGACGAACAGAGACAGGACAGCAAGGAATATACTTCTGTGTCGATCTCGGCAGACTCAACATCAATGTTCACATCTGCAATGACTTTGATTATTTCAACTAGCAATCCCGGCCTATCTGCTGTCTCGATGCACAACAAGCTGAAATATATTGAACTCAAAAGCGTTAGATTGTATGTTATCAAGCACCTATCGCATATTGGGTTGCAAGTTTTCAAATTCTTTGGGGTAGAAACAATTTCGTTTATAAACAGTTCAAAAATTGTACCCAAAGAAAAGTAAAATATAGAGGGGGAATAATTAATTATTATGTCCACATATAATAAAGATGCAAACCTCCTCTTGGGTCCATCTTCCTTAACTTGAATATGAGTTGCAATTTCAATATCAAGCTGCACAAAACAATAATAATAAAGTAGATATTTGCGATACTAAGACTAAAACTGCATCATGCTATATCTGGTAGAACCATTCATTTATAGGGATTTTGTTAACATGTGCTCTTCAAACAGAGTCAAAGGAATCAAATCAAATAGCTAAAAAATAAAAAGTATAAGCATTTAATTTTTTTCATGTAATTAATAGAGTAATGAAGCTATTTTAATTCCTTCGCATTTTCAAAAAAAAAATAAAACCTAGCATTTTCTAGTACCAGGGTGGTGCTGAGATGAGGACTTGGGTATTATGGGTCACCAAATCCCACATCGAGTAGTACGGGATATTCGGTGGATGTTCAATTTGTAGGCAGCCAAAATGCGGTGACAAGTCCCAAAAGTAATGATATTGATCTTCACTTTTATTTCTTGTGATACCTGCAACTCCAAGAACGGAGTTCTGATACCATTTGTATGGACCAGTATTTTTGGCCCCGCAAGAAATGCGACAAATCTACATTGGTTAAAGAACAACAATACCAAACATTGAGGGTCTGCAAGCTCCCTACTCTAAAGGCCCCCAAGTTTTCATACAAATGACAAGCCCCCTCTCCTTTCGTCTCTGACCCTCTCTAACTATCTAAGTCTACTAACTAAATAACTAATGGCATTATGCAATGTGACATTCTCATCACGAACAAAATTAAGTACTGTGTCAAAGTTTAAGGCCTAAAAATTCATTGAAGCACACAAAACTTTGAACTGCCAATGAACCAAGAAATGAAAAAGAAGTATTATTCTCCCTAAAAGAACTTATATTCCAAGTAGGAAATAAAAAAGGAAAGGAAAATTAGAAGAGTATTATTCACCTTCTTTTTTGGATCCTTTAGACCAAACACTTCACCCATCGCTAGAAGTTCACTGGACTCCTGGATAAATTATATAATACTCATGAGCAAGAAAAACTGAAATTTAAGGGCAGGTTAAACAGTATATTGGCTAAAAGAAACAACGGAAACTTGTGTTTAAAAATGTTTCTTAGTACAAGGAAGCTTATCATGTAAAATAACCATATAAGAAAACTCAGAGAAAAGTATTTATACAACATACTTACAGGATGATACTGCAACAGATTGTTGATAATGGTAAGTCGAATTCTCTCTAACATATCAGGATTTTCAACTTTACGCCCAGTATCTCTGACAGAATATCAATAAAACAAAATTTGTGAAAACTAAATGTATCAATGAAGCAGTGAAAACATATTAGACAATGAATTACAAGTCACATTGTTATTCCTTCACATGCTCTAATTAATAGCACTAGATATAGTTGGAAACCGACTCATTTTCCACAGTTCAATGCGAGTTTGAGATGTAATGTTAAAAACCATTCACGAGTCTTTACTTCACTTTGGGGAGACTATTTCTTGATAAATTCAATTATAGATGAATATAATTGTTAAACCTTAACAAGGTACTGTCTCATATCCGTGACACACACCAGGAAAAAGAGATCACTAAAAGCCAAGCAAGTAAATAAAAGACCAAATATCCATTTTGGTCTTCCAAAGACATGCCTGAGCCTGACTTCACAGTGGTACTCCATTCACATTTATATTTTTTGTAAACATAAAATTGTCCCTCCAGTAATAACCAAGTGGCACCAGTTTTGTATTTATGCAGACCATTGAATGACACTTTAAGCACCAAATTGGTATTGAAGAACCAGTTAAATGTACTTGTAAGTGGCAGACCAGCCAAATAGCACATATAGCTTTGTAATAATCAACATGAATACTATCAGTGGTGCTAATGTTAAATAATTTGATAATGAATGAAATAACACTCACATAACACCGTAAAACCAGTTTTTTTAAAGTTTAATATTTCTAGTGATCAAGAGAAAAGAATGCCAACAAAAATGAAGAGAAAAGACAAACAAGACTTACGATTGTGTAATAAAAAATTTGGTTTGCTTCACTGGTCCCTCCGTAGAGACAGTTCCCTTTGAAACATCCAGTCCCAAATCTTTTAATGCTTTCATCTGCTTAGATATTAACAAGCGAAAATCAATTATTAATAAATGGAATAAATCTTCTCTTTTATCATATGAACACGCCATAAAAAATATGCAGACAAATTAAATTGGACTGAACTTTTTAAGAAAATTGAGCATAATTAAGTTCCAAATAGCGACATCACCGTGTCAAGAAGAGCTCCAAGGCGATCGCCAAAGCTAAGTTGCACAAGTGTTGCTTCAGAATGTGAGTCTTGATCAATCAGAACTATTGGCATTGGAACACTATCAAGGTTTTTATTGGATTTCTGCAAAAAGGATTAACCAACCAAATGTCACAAAAAGATTGTATCAAAAAGTATGGCATACCCATCTATAAATGGGGGACTGGATTACTATATTTTCCCTTTATTATTCTTATGACTTTATAGTACAATATCTATAAGGTTCCATTTTCTTGATCTAGACAGGACATGAAAAGAATGATATCACTTGCCGGTGAAGCTGAATCAACTGCATTCAAGTCATAAGAAGAAGCATGTATAATATTCCTGCACAACGTTTCATTTAGTAGTAAGAACAAGAGATATAAACACCTCCCGGGGACTCTACTACAAAAGATTTAAGTTCCAATAGTGTCCATAAACAACTACAAATAATACAAATCTGATGGTTTCTAGGATTCGAGATTCCAAGTTATCAAGAACAATTCAAATATCCAGAAACAAGACATTGAAAAAATTAACTAAAATATTATCATGTTCCGATAAAATTACAACTAATTTATCATAAAAAAAAAAAAGTTTTACAAAAATTATATCTACTAATTTCTTTGAAGATAAACAAATATTAGTCTGATCCAATTCAATCCCTGGTGAAATGAAGATTACATTCCCACACAACACCGCAGTTGAAGAAGTTGCAAGTTATCAAAATTGAATCTATTCAAACAAGGCTTAAATAACATAGGAATAAAAGAAAACACCACACTGACACGCCGACACCAATAATAAATTAAAGGTAATCACGGTGCATAGTGCCGACGCGGACACATATATTGGTTATAATCTACTCAATACATGAATGAAAAATAAATTAAAAAAATAAAAAGTGTGAGGAAGAGGATTTTCTGACTTGTTCCTGAGGGAGGAGCGGAGGGTGAACGAGAGAGATGATGGTAGAGGAATGGAGAGCGGATCGGAAAGCTTGGTTGCGTGGACGGCGAAGAAAGAAGCGATGGAAGCATTGGTGACGGCCATGGCGGAGAAGATGATGTTGGTGACAGTTGAAGTTGGTGAAGTGTGTGCGTAACTGCGAGTGATATTTAATATATATTTATAATTGTTATTTTGAGTTTGTAGTTTTGTTGGTTTATTGTGGGATCTAAAAATTTATTCGGTGAAAGGGATGATGATGCGTCCTCAACTGCTCATGAATCATTGTGCTTTGTAAATTGTTTACATTGATTGTGAAAGACACGTCAGATCCAACGTTACATTCATCTTTGAAAACTACCCATGCTTTTTTAATCATTTTTTTAATGATTGAGATTTTTTTTATCGCCAAAGAAAGTTATAATATATAATCGTGAACTCTAAAACTGTTTTGATGATGGTGAAGGTGATGGATCCGACAATCACTAGATAGCGTTCAAAGACAAGTTTTTCTTTTTGGACAAAGCACCTCTTTGTTCTAAATGGAATTTGCTTATTTAATTTGTCACAAATTTTTCATATTAAAATTGAAGACGATAAACCACATTGTTTGATTGTGGATGAATTAAGAAACTCTTGGATGATTGTTAAATTATTTGGGAGATCTACAATTTCCTTATCATTTGCTATCAATTAAGGTTGTATGAAAACATGTGGAATTCATCAATAAGAGGGACTCGTCCTTTATGAAAATATTTGTCTTTTAGATATTTTGTATGATGTCATCATTATGATTGATTTAGTTTTTTTATACATTGAATATTATTTTTGAGTATTTGTATGTACCTTGATATTAGGAATCTTAGAAAACATCTAGAACAAGTTTGAAAAGATTGTCATTTGGTAACATGCATCAAAAGTCATGTTTTGCACAAAAAGTTTTAAGGAAACTTAGGAAAATCAAAATACACACTAAGTGTTCGATAAATTGTCTCAATAAACTTTAGCTTTAATTTCATTGGAAATTGGTTACTTGATCGTTGTAATCAAATCATTGATTGAGAATTTGACGTTTTACTTGCTTATCATCATTACTCATTTAAAATTAATTGAACGCATATCCGAGTTTCAATAATCGGTTCGTTTTAAATGACTTGCCATCTACGACACGACTTCCGCTAGCCATTGTTTTTACTTGTTTTGAAAACAATTTTTAAACTCAATTTTTAATTGGGGAACTATTCACCCCCCTACTATAGATAAGTTGTCGTCATCTAACAAGTGACATCAAGAGCCCAGTTCATTCTGTGTGCTTCAAAATGCTTATTAGAAAATGGCAAACAAACCTAAAGGGGCGCACAATAAAGCTCTTATTTTCACCTATGAAAACTATGGTTATTGGAAGAGTTGTATCTGCATTCATATCAATTCTTATGATAAGAATCTATGGGATGCCATCGAGAACGGTTCAAATGAAACTACCGAGATCATTGATGGTGTCACCGTATCCAAATCGGAAGCACGATGGAGTAAGGATGATAAGGATGAGTGGGCTCACGATTGGAAAGCACGAAACATTCTCATATCCTCTCTTGGTGTCAATGAATTTTATCATGTATCTCATTGTGAAATCGCTAAAACTATGTGGGACGCGTTGTGAGTTTCCCTTGAGGGAATCAATCAAGTCAAACAAACTAGAGTAAATACACTAAATCAAGATTTCAAACTCTTTCACATGAAGCATGGTGAAACCATTACCGAAATACAAAAGAGGTTCACTCGTCTCATTAATCGTTTGAATATACTTGGGAAACCGGTTTCCAATAAAATTGTTACTAATAAAATTTTGAGGTGTCTTAATAGGAAACGACAACCAAATGTCACCACGATCAAGGGAGTCAACAATCTCACAACACTTGACCTCACTACATTGTTGGGTAAGCTTGAAGAACATGAGCAAGAATACACTTGCTTAGAGAAACATGGAAAAACGCATGAGAAGAAACTAAAGAAAGAGAAAGGCAAAGATAAGGAGATGGAAAAAAAGTTCATTGCTCTAAAGACTTCTATTTCAAGGCCCTCAACAAATGAGCAAAGTTATAGTGAAACAAATGACGATGAGAATTCGGATGATAAAGAAATGAAGCTTTTGTTGAAAAGGATCCAAATAACTCTAGTAAACCACTTCTAAACTTGATTTGTCATTATTGTTGTGTGAAAGGTCATACCATTTCTAAATTCAAACCTATGAAATTTTTAGTTCCTAAAGACGTTTATTAATGGTTGCATAACACTACAAGAAAAAGCTTCCCCAGCCACGTGAAGTTGCCACGTGATTTTCATGTGGCTAAATAAAACCAGTTGCGACGTGAAAATCACGTGGCAACGTGTTTTAATAATATAAAATAGATACATTGAGTGTGTCAGTTACGTTTCTTTGTTAAAAAAAGTAGCGACGTGGGATTCACGTCGCTAATTAAAATATCACAAAATTTAATTCAATCACAACTTCCAACACTGGCGTGTGCAGGCTTTGAAGGAAGAGAAAGCAGTTGTAAATTTGTTGCGACGTGAAAATCACGTGGCAACGTTGCGGCGTGATTTTCACGTCGCTACGTGGTTTATGTAATTTATGAAAACGTTCCACAACGTTTCTGTTTCTATCACTTCTTCATCTTCAACCTTCACAAAAAGTTTTCTTCCCCACTCTTCAACCATACCCATTTTCTTCCCCAAAAAAATTTCTTCTCCACTCTTTAATTCCTACCATCTTCATCCATTTTGTAAGGTAATTTCAATTTCATGTTTTATATACTTTGTTAATAGCTTTTGATGTGTTATTTTGAGTATAAATTTTTTTCAATTTTTCTTTGAATAGAGAAGGAGAATATAGAAGTATAGATTGCAAAAAGGGACAAGAAGACTGAAGGAGTTACAAGATAAAAGGTATGTCTTGAATTTTTTTTTTTTTGAAATTAGTATATTTTCTGATTTTGATTAATTTGCATTGGGTTAAAATTGTTGAATTTGGGTTATATATATATTTTCTGTATTTGAGTTAAATGTTAGGTTTAATTATTTAGTTTATAATAATTATTAATTATTAATTTGTGATGATGAATGAGTTTAATTATTTTAGGAGTTTAAGTTTTTTTATTTTTAGGAGTTTATAAATTTTTAGTGTTTAAATTAAATTTTTAGGAGTTTAATAAGTTTTTAGATTTTTAGGAGTTTATAAAATTTAGGTGTTTAAATTAAATTTTAAGTGTTTAAAAATAAATAAATATTTTTAGGAATTTATAAATTTTAAGTGTTTAAATTAAATTTTTAGGAGTTTAATTAGTTTTTAAATTTTTAGGAGTTTATAAAATTTAGGTGTTTAAATTAAATTTTAAGTGTTTAAAAATATTTTATGGAGTTTATAAGTATTGTTGAAAGCATATATTTATCTTTAATTGTATATGTTTAGGATTATTATTAAGTTGATTAATTAATATTTCTAATTAAATAGGTTTTGATTATATAAATTTGCAGTAAATGGAATATTATATGTATTATCGTTATTATCGTAGTTGGATGTACGATAGACTATATCCAGGAAGACGCGCACTTAAACCCAATTTTATAGACGGGGTTAATGGTTTTATCGCGTGGACGTTTGCCCAGGAACGTTGTCGAAGTGAAGGAGGAGTTAGGTGTCCTTGTCTTAAATGTGGATGTAGATATATAATTAGTGACCCAGAGGAAATAACACGTCATTTGCATAGGAAAGGTTTCATTGAAAATTATTAGGTTTGGAAGCATCATGGTGAAACACTGCCGAGTAATGTACCAGAGACTAGCAACACAGATGCTTCAAGTAGTCAACCGGTTATGCAACCACCTATGGAATTTGAAGAAAACTTTAATCTGATAGGTGACATGGTTGGTGATGCTTTTGGTGTTAACGTGACCTATGATCAACCTGAAGACTTTGACGGGGAAGAGTTGCCGAATGAGGAAGCGCGGAGATTTTATCTGTTGTTGAATGAGATGAATACGCCGTTGTTTGAGGGGTCGTCAGACTCAAAGCTATCAATGTGTGTTAGATTATTGGCCGCCAAGTCAAATTGGAATGTTCCTGATCAGTGTTTGGAGCACTTCGCAAAAATGATGTTGGACTCAACTGCAACGAAAGACAACTTCCCTGCGAGTTTCTATGATGCAAAGAAGTTGGTGTCGAAGTTGGGTTTAAGAGTAAGAAAGATCGATTGTTGCACTAATGGTTGTATGTTGTTTTATGACAACGAGTTTGGTACTCAAGATGGATCGTCAGAGGAATGTAAGTTTTGTCATAGTCCAAGATATAAAGTTCGCAATAGAGCCATTAACAGTAACCAAAAACGGGTAGCAGTAAAGTTCATGTTTTATCTTCTGATAATACCAAGGTTAAAAAGAATGTTTTCTTCAATGCACAGTGCAAGTCAAATGACATGGCATCATACAAACAAAACAAGCCCAGGCAATATGCGACACCCATCTGACGGCCATGCATGGAAGCACTTTGATGAGGTACATCCTGATTTTGCCGCCGAACCTAGAAATGTCAGGCTTGGATTATGCTCTGATGGTTTTGCTCCATATGTCCAAGCGTCCGGAAGTGCGTATTCTTGTTGGCCAGTTATTATAACCCCTTACAATCTCCCTCCTGAGATGTGCATGACAAAACCATACATGTTTTTGACGTGCGTCATTCCAGGACCGTCGAGTCCAAAAACCGGAATTGATGTGTACTTACAACCTTTAATTGATGATTTGAAGAGGTTGTGGAATAATGGAGAATGGACTTATGATATATCCCGTAAATAAAACTTTTCTATGCGAGCTGCCTTGATGTGGACTATTAACGACTTTCCAGCATATGGCATGTTGTCTGGTTGGGGTACGCATGGTAGAGTGGGTTGTCCGCATTGCATGGAATGCACTAAGGCGTTTACATTGGAAAAAGGGGGGAAAAGCTCGTAGTTTGACTGTCACCGCAGATTCCTACCATCAAATCATCCCTTTAGAAAAAACAAGACAAATTTCAAAAAGGACGAACGGGTAACAGATCTGCCTCCGCCTCG